AGTCGCCAAGAACTTCTAGAGTACAAAGATAAGAATAAAGCAGCTAACAGAACACCCCTTGTACTCACTTACCATCCTGATTTTAAAAATGTGTCTTCCATTGTTCAGAAGCATTGGAAAATTATAGAAAATGATTCAAATCTTAAAAAAGTATTTTCCTCACCACCAGTCATGGCCTTCAGAAGACCTAAAAACATCCGTGACAAATTAGTGACATCTGTATTAGCAAAGCAGCCTTCTCCATCTCCCGGTTGCTACAAACAATGTGGTCGAAGGAACTGCTTGTGTTGTAAAGCTGCCAAAACAAGCAGTTCTTTCATCAGCTCCGTTACTAAACAAAATTATACCATCTACTCAAATTCCAACTGTAAAACGGAGAACTCAATTTATATATTAACATGTGACACATGTGGCATTCAGTATGTGGGAGAAACAATGGACAAATTTAATATTCGGCTCAATAACCATCGTTCATGGTACAAAACCAACAAAAACCGTCCTCTCACAAGACATCTTCGTTCAACGAAACATTCTTTTGATAATGTTACCTTCCAAATCATAGAAGTCAACACCGAGTGGGACACCACGGCGAGAAAGAGAAGAGAACATTTTTGGATCCACCAACTCTACACTTTAGAACCTGATGGTCTTAACGAAAAAGATGAGAAAAGATACAGGAAAGATAAAGCATAATTTAGTACACAGCATCGTCCTTTTTATCCTGTAATATTGGCCAATGGACGTTGCTAACTTCAACTACCAATTTTGTAAAAATCTTGAACTTCATCCAAATTATGTATTATTTTCAAGGCAGCTAAATTCAAGTGCAACATATACATTGAGCTGCAAAAGTTTCTTATCATCTACATCCGATTTCACCTGGATAGATGCACGCTTGATAAAGCTAGTTAGTCTAGCGAAATATTGCGTTTATTTTCATCATTTTGTAAATATTTTAAACATTCTTATATTTACATACTAAATAGTGTGTTAAAATTACATTGTTAGGCAATCTATAATTTTATTTGTGTAATTGAATTAATCTCTGTACTGATTAATCCACACTCCCATAGATTTGTATGTCATGTGCTGCTATTTATAGGCACTTATATTATTATCTTCAGTAGCACGCATTTCACAAATGTTTGTGTAATCCATTCAAATCTATCGCTATCTTTACAACATGGATAGCGCACTGCATTTCAAGAAATTAAGATCTTTAACTAAAAAGAAACTACAAACTGAACATCATTTATCAAACTTAAAAAAATATATTCAAAGTAGAACTGTACCAAAAGGTTTAAACATCAAAGTGAGTCCCCAGGCACCGGGACATAAATCCAAAAGATTCATGAGTCGTTGGAATGAAATTCTGTTTAACTGTTCAATCCAGCTACTTCAACTGTTACTTTCTTTTACAACCACAAATTACAAACAAATTGTAAATGAAATATCAGATATCATCAACAATAGTAACATTTCACGTGACGATTTACCAATAATTAAACGTCGCCTTGCAGATATTGAAAAAATTGAACTATCCAAACATAAAGAAAAACAAAGGAATAAATTTCAAAGAGATAAAATTCACACTGTCTATTTAAATCAGGATATGAATGATATCAATACAACAAACCATAAGGTCCCTAGAAAAAGAAAATTGAAAAGACGGAAACAAAAAACTGAAAGCATTGTTGTAAATTTGTCATCTAAAGAACTTACACGTGCTGAAGAATCTCTTTTAAGTAAAGGTTTAAACTTCTGTCCTATCCCATCAAATGTAAATAACTTTCAGCTAGACGAGGACTTAGACCAATTCGCTAGACGTTTACGCTTGAAAGATTTTTTCTACAATAGGGGCAAGAAAAACCTTGAAGAAGCTGGATTAACAGTTTCAGATACTGACACCAATAAAGAAGTCACGCCCATCCCAAAATTTAAGAAAAAAAGTTCATGGAAACCACCTAAGAGTAAAAATGATAACTTGGAGTCATTCATTAACTACGTGAGGTCTGATATAAAGTCCTGTATAACAAATACAAGAAATTATAATTTATCCAAGTCAGAAAGCATTGCTTTGAAAGCGTTAAAAGATCAAGAGGATATCGTAATAAAACCTGCCGACAAAGGGGGCGCTGTGGTTGTCATGAATAAAACAGATTACATAGCAGAGGGAAATCGCCAACTTTCAAACTCCATTTTTTATAAACAATTAACCACAGATCCAACACTAAATAATATTCGAAGGATCAACACCATCCTTCAAGAGATGTTCGACAAAAAGCATATAGACAATGACACCTTTGATTATCTCCGACCTCTTAAGAAAGAAGGAAAGGCCGGAAGATTCTATATGTTGCCTAAAATACATAAAACGGGCAATCCAGGTCGACCAATTGTTTCAGCAAATAGTCATCCAACTGAAAAGATATCAGAATTTTTAGACCATCATCTAAGACCTCATGTGAAAGAACTACCCTCTTACATCCAGGATACGACTGATTATCTAAAGAAAATGGAAAGCCTCAATCCTCTACCAAGCAATACTATACTTGCATCCATGGACGTGTCTTCTTTATATACCAACATTCCACAAGACGAAGGAATAGCAGCGTGTGAAGAGGTATGGAACACTCGTAGTGAAAAAAATCCTCCAACTGAGTGCCTTGTTACACTTCTGAAACTAGTGCTAGAGAACAACAACTTCTCTTTCAATGAAAAACATTATCTCCAGATAGACGGTACTAGTATGGGCACAAAAATGGCCCCGTCATATGCCAACATATTTATGGGCCAACTTGAAAAACGCCTCTTGGCTAGTGCTCCATACCAGCCCTTATCATGGTTCCGATTCATTGACGATATTGATTTCAAATGGACAGATTCACAAGAACATCTTAATGAATTTCTAGGACACTGTAACTCTTTCCACCATTCAATAAAATTTACATATGAATCATCTATGGAGAAAATAAACTTCCTCGACACTACGAGTTACATCAAGAACGGAACCATTATAACGGACCTTCATACCAAACAAACGGACAAACATCAATTCCTTTCTCCTAAAAGTTGCCATCCTAAACACTGCTCCCGTGGCATCCCATTCAGCCAGGCATTGCGAATCAAGAGAATATGCTCTACTGAAAATACGCAAAATGCTAGACTTGGACAACTACGTAAACATCTAGTTGTTCGAGGATACAATAACAACATCATTGATAGCGCTTTCGAAAGAGCAAACAAAACTAGTCGCCAAGAACTTCTAGAGTACAAAGATAAGAATAAAGCAGCTAACAGAACACCCCTTGTACTCACTTACCATCCTGATTTTAAAAATGTGTCTTCCATTGTTCAGAAGCATTGGAAAATTATAGAAAATGATTCAAATCTTAAAAAAGTATTTTCCTCACCTCCAGTCATGGCCTTCAGAAGACCTAAAAACATCCGTGACAAATTAGTGACATCTGTATTAGCAAAGCAGCCTTCTCCATCTCCCGGTTGCTACAAACAATGTGGTCGAAGGAACTGCTTGTGTTGTAAAGCTGCCAATACAAGCAGTTCTTTCATCAGCTCCGTTACTAAACAAAATTATACCATCTACTCAAATTCCAACTGTAAAACGGAGAACTCAATTTATATATTAACATGTGACACATGTGGCATTCAGTATGTGGGAGAAACAATGGACAAATTTAATATTCGGCTCAATAACCATCGTTCATGGTACAAAACCAACAAAAACTGTCCTCTCACAAGACATCTTCGTTCAACGAAACATTCTTTTGATAATTTTTCCTTCCAAATCATAGAAGTCAACACCGAGTGGGACACCACGGCGAGAAGGAGAAGAGAAAATTTTTGGATCCACCAACTCCACACTTTAGAACCTGATGGTCTTAACGAAAAAGATGAGAAAAGATACAGGAAAGATAAAGAATAATTTAGTACACAGCATCGTCCTTTTTATCCTGTAATATTGGCCAATGGACGTTGCTAACTTCAACTGCCAATTTTGTAAAAATCTTGAACTTCATCCAAATTATGTATTATTTTCAAGGCAGCTAAATTCAAGTGCAACATATACATTGAGCTGCAAAAGTTTCTTATCATCTACATCCGATTTCACCTGGATAGATGCACGCTTGATAAAGCTAGTTAGTCTAGCGAAATATTGCGTTTATTTTCATCATTTTGTAAATATTTTAAACATTCTTATATTTACATACTTAATAGTGTGTTAAAATTACATTGTTAGGCAATCTATATATATATATATATATACAAGTCTAAATTGAAAACAACGTTCAAACCTATGATTGCGTTGGATAAAAACCGCAATTTTTTTACGCGTGCATGCAAAACAAATTTCTTGTTAGAGGGGTCTAAATACAGCACAAACAACATTTTCCATAAGACCAATAAAATGAAAAAGCATATTTTAACAAAACGCATTTGACTACCAGGTCGAACAACAAATGTTCTTAAACCCTGCTGACTGACATTGGTGATTACATTATGACAAAAAAAATTTGCTTTTTCCCCAGGTCTGTCGCTTCCAAATGAATCAAATATGATAATATATAAATTTGTATTTCTCTGAGAAATTGTCTCTATTTGTTTTGCTTGTTAATTTAGTTTTAAAAACCTTGATAAAATTATACTGCATGTTGTAAAAGGATTTTCACGCAACAGTTGATGTTGCGAGTTCAAACCACTTGAAAGTTTTCTTTAAATTAGCACAGAAGCACATGTGTCATGAACATTTATGCTTTATCTTAAATTCTCTGTGCGTTCAATGAAATCCAAAAGATTTGAAAAAATACACTCCATTAGATGACACTGAAGTTCCACAATGGTAAAATCAACTATCAACAAACAATGATATTTTTTGTTCTCACTCTGCAATAGTAAAAAATAAAAATTCATACACAGGATGTTAACAACATAAGCCTATAGTATATAAATTAAAACGGTATTTCCTGTAATATATACATTGGTTTCAAGTTGAAAGAATTACTAAGTAGTTGTATACCGATTGTAAGTACTAATATTATCATTGCTACGTTTCTTTAGATATCATTATTTGGTATTCCTTGATTCACATCATACTATATCTTTATATCTACTATTAGAATGTTATATCATTTGAAATACTGTTGACTATATTTCCTTAATAACACACAAACTGTTAATTTCTCTGAATAAATAATCTGATTATAGAGAAGTTACCATGAGGACAATCAAAAGTTATAATAAAAACGAGGACCCAGGTCCGTCGGAACGACACTTTAATTCAACAGCTACCTAAGAAGCATACAACCAGATCTATCAAAGAGATCAGAGTACAGGATAGCACGAGTTCCAACACAGCTAGATCAAAGCAAAGACTTTACCCCAGATGACGTCAGAGTAAATTTCAGTTTGGGGTGGCATGTTTTAAGCTGACTGTTACCGTGTCTCAGAGTGTTTGCGTAGTGCATTCATTCCACATTCTCATGTAAATGTCCTGAAGGTGAATGTTAAATTTGACCCTTCAAGTTAATTTTCGTTCTTCGCCATTATCAAGGAAATCTTGAAAGAAAACCTTTGAATATCGTATCAACCGATATGTATTTACTACATATGCAGATGTTGCTTGAATGTCCGTAAAAAAGTAAGCTTAGATGGTAAGACGTAACATCATCTTTGTTGTCGTTATGTTTTAATTTTAACCGATCACTACTTTCAGAATTTAGCATGTTTAGATTGGTCTCATCTGAAAACAAGATATTTCTATCTATATTGACATTCTTTTTATAAAACAAGGTTGGATCAGTTTTTTAATCATGTCTTTGAAATTAGAGGAAGGAATACTTGTTTTAGGGCAGAGAAGTCATTTCTTATATCAGATTGTATTGGGAGAGGGAAATACTGATTTTTTTGGATGTGTATGAAAGCGGTTCGGAATATGCGTTTTATAAAGTTCTATTTTTCTGAATTGTTAAAAAGTGCGTAATTTCATAATTTGAATCTAGTCATTTTGTCACTTTAATACAATACAACTAACGTCAATGACTCATTGTAATGACAAATCGGTAAAAAATTGACATGTCGAATTTCCTCTAATGTCCGTTTTATTAAGGCAACAAAACTAATGTTCAATTTTGTAAATATTTAATCAATACATGCACTTCTAACTGCATTTTAATCTTAAACGGTCGTTTGATTTTAACATCATTTGAAAAGTTTAAACAATACATTATTCAACCATTTTTTCAGACTCCCGTAAATTCAGAACCGTTTAGACATTTCGCTTGCAGTCAATTCAGTACTGTTCAGTAGCTTTTCAGACAATTTAGTTTGATGTTGATGTGTACAGGTTAATAAAAATTACCAAACAGTCTGAGAATAAATCGAACAGATCTTGATTTACTGCTATGAAATTGTCTGAACATTACTTAATTTACAGCAGTGAATATATCTGACAATTGACTAAAGACTGAAAATGACTTTAAAATCTATTGTTCAGTCTTTAAAGTGCTGTTTAGATCAAAATTAACCTTTCAGATCAAATTTACTGGTGATAAACACTTTACGATACTAAACATTGTTAAGACGATAGTATGTAAAGGATAATGAAGTTTATAACTACCTAGCTAAAACTTGTATGTGTCCTTAAGAATGACATACGGATTTGTCCTTCTAAATTCTTTCATTTTTGAAACATTTTTATTTTAAAGAAAATTGATTTATTTACTTTCATGCAGTAATTCTTTTTTTAAATGAATCTCCACGAAAGGTATGACATAATTCAATTGTTTACAAAATTGCTTACTGCTATCACCGTAGTATAAACACTTCAAAATTTGACTAAACTTAAGGTTTTGGGATTTTCTGCAGCACAAATTTCTACCAATTCTGTATTTGGCAAAGTGATGTTGTGTCACAAACGACGCCATAACTTATACAAAGCATATGAAATTTAAGCAAAGACACAAAATTTATGTCAACGGCTTACATAAAAAAGACGGAGAGAAACAACATTACAAAACTAAGTAAAAAAATAAAAAAAAAAAATACATGCTACTCGCGTATGTTTGACAACAATTCCAACTTAAGTGTCTTATCGCTTTGCATCATGTTGCTTTGCATCATGGTGTGAATCTTTATAGGCTTCAGACCAAAATTAAGTTACCATTAATTACAATGCCTTTCTTTAAAAAGGTAAACTGAATTGATAAAAATTGTGCCGTTTTGAACATAAAATATGTCTACTGCATTATTATTCTAATGGGATATGTTTGTATCAGCACAATCTATCGCTGTTTCGCTCTTAAGTGACATGAAAAAAGTCAAACGGTAGAGGTTAGTCTTGAATAAATGCCGAATGCTTATTTTTACCCTACTTAAACTTTGGCAAAATCACTACTGGCACTTCCAACAATAAATGTTTCCAACATGTTTTAATTATTTCGGTATATATATATATTGTTTGGATAACTTTAATAGTAAACTTTCAAAGAAAACAGTAGGAAGAAAAAGAAGGACTAGATACCCAATACAATACTTGGGAACAGTATGTATGTACTACGAACAAAGTGGAATTAATTGTGGTCTGAGGCCTTCAGACAATGCACATGCCATCTTGAAATTATTACATATAAAACGTTAGTTCTGATAGGTTGCCTTAGAAGCCTTTTTTTGGCTTAGATTTTATTGGCTTGAATGAATTATAGAATCTGAAACATGTATACGGAATATCTGTACCAGATCAGTATGGATATTTCAGACCCGATCGATTCATATAATGCTATGGAATTGCGTCGGATATATACTGTTTGGATATGCACTGATAGTTAAAACTGATACATTACAACGCTATGTTACCGATATGTTATTACAAGATATGTTCCTGTTAAAGTTAAGCATAGTATACAATCTACAGAGTAAACTTGGCTTTAAGAAAAATAACAAAACAACACAAGTATAATACATCAATAGAATTAACCGTCATACATTATTTGATTAAGATAATTTCATTTGCAAATTTTAACAACCGACGCCATAACTTATACAAAGCATATGAAATTTAAGCAAAGAAACAAAATATATGTCAACGGCTTACATAAAAAAGACGTTGAGGAACAACATTGCAAAACTAAAAAAAAAAAAAAATACATGCTACTCGCGTATGTTTGACAACAATTCCCACTTAAGTGTCTTATCGCTTTGCATCATGGTGTGAATCTTTTAAGGCTTCAGACAAAAATTAAGTTACCATTAGTTACAATGCCTTTCTTTGAAAAGGGTAAACTGAATTGATAAAAATTGTGCCGTTTTGAACATAAAATATGTCTACTGCATTATTATTCTAATGGGATATGTTTGTCCCAGCACAACCTATCGCTGTTTCTCTCTTAAGTGACATGAAAAAAAGTCAAACGGTAGAGGTGAGTCTTGAATAAATGCCGAAGGCTTATTTTTACCCTACTTAAACTTCGGCAAAATCACTACTGGCACTTCCAACAATAAATGTGTCCAACATGTTTTACTTATTTCGGTATATATATATATTGATTGGATAACTTTAATAGTAAACTTTCAAAGAAAACAGTAGGAAGAAAAAGAAGGACTAGATACCCAATACAATACTTGGGAACAGTATGTATGTACTACGAACAAAGTGGAATTAATTGTGGTCTGAGGCCTTCAGACGATGCACATGCCATCTTGAAATTATTACATATAAAACGTTAGTTCTGATAGCTTGCCTTAGAAGCCTATTTTTGGCTAAGATTTTATTGGCTTGAATGAATTATAGAATCTGAAACATGTATACGGAATATCTGTACCAGATCAGTATGAATATTTCAGACCCGATCGATTCATATAATGCGATGGAATTGAGTCGGATATATACTGTTGGATATGCACTGATAGTTAAAACTGATACATTACAACGCTATGTTACCGATATGTTATTACAAGATATGTTCCTGTTGAAGTTTATTATAGTATACAATCTACAGAGTAAACTTGGCTTTAAGAAATATAACAAAACAACACAAGTATATAACGCCGACACATGGTATGTTAAACTTCGGTACATGGAAATTTGAAATTTAAATTCACTTTTATTTGACAAAACATTATTGAGAATTAACAGTATTATATCAACTGTATTATAAGACGAAGATAACCTTTTTGGTCAAATGATTATTTTTATTTAGTCTATCTTATGTTATATTTTCCTTGGATAGTCTCTCATTCGAACAATCAAAACGTATGGTGCTAATTTTTCTTCACCTGCGTGTTTCGTGTTAGTTCGCGCATTTTGTGTCATTTTACTGATAAAACTGAAACTCAAATAGAAGTATCCGAAAATGAAAAATGGAAAATAATAAATAGTAATGATATAAACATGATAAAGTCAAAAGAAAAATTCCATAAACATCACAACGCTGATACAATAACAAAATCTGATGAACATTTGTGATACTGCAAATCAATTATACCTTTTTAGAAAGGTAAACTTGTACATCTAATTGTTTCATTAACGTAAACACCACGAAATTAGTTCATTGCTTAATTTGAGTAAAAAAGTTGGTTAAGGGTCATAATCCCCATGTCTTCAAATGTTTAGTTTAAGGGACAGACTATTAGCACAACAATAACAAGAAGCAATTATTCAAAGCAATTTGCTATCAAAATAATGACATAGATTATTATGTTCATTATTGAAAACAGATTTTGGCTTTTAACTAGCCGTCAGTAACTGCGAGTACTCTCAAATCGTACTTTCTTGTTTATTTGACCTGTTGATACTAATTGTAATGCTTTTTTGTTATTTAATGTTATTCAGGGTTATATCTGGTCTATATACCAGCTTTTATAAGTGTTTGGTATTACTATAAATTTTCACTTCGTACTATGAACATCAAAATTATTTATTTTGTAAAAATATTTCCTTTCTCTATTGGAACTGTGCACGTATACCTAGCAACAAAATTATTTTCATTTACCTGTGTTTAAAGTTATTGCAAATGACTGATATTTTT